CGGCCAAGCACAAAAAAGGCCTCCCCCCTGGAGTCCGTCCGTGTGCCCCCCGCCGAGCGAGCCAGCCGGCACCACCTGTGGGGGGGCAGCAGCGGGCACTCCCGAGCCTCCGCCCGCGCCCACCTGTTTACCCAGGACCCTGCGATGCCCCCCCTGACCCCTCCCAACACCCTGGCCCAGCTGGAGGAGGCCTGCCGCAGGCTGGCTGAGGTGTCCAAGCCCCCGAAGCAGCGGTGAGTGGAAGCGGCGTCCGAGGCGAAAGGCTGGCGCTGGGGGTGGAGGGCGTGGACGTAGAGACCTGGCCTGTGGCGAAGGGAAGGGCCTTTTTCTGGCCGCATCACATTGTCCTCTCCAGCTTCTAGAAATGGTTGCCTTCAGTTTCATTCGTCCTGGAGAGCCAACCGGGATCTGTGAGGCAAGTCGCGCAGTCATTCCTTACAAATCCCATTCCTTACCCGGATCATGGAAGCCTGGTCCGATGAGCACATGAGAAGCCATGACTGAGCCTATGGGGACTCTGGGGCCTGCAGCCCTCTGCCTGGCTCGCAGGGTCCGCCCCGGGTGCCCCCGTGGGCTCAGGAGGGCCGTTCCAAGGCCTCTTCCAGGCCTCCTGGAGCCACTGCGGCCTCCGTTGGTCTCCCACGGCTGGGAGTCAGGTCTGTGTCTGTCTACAAGGCCACAGACAGTCGTTCTCTGTCTGCTCCCCATTGGCCCTGGGCACGCAGGCGTCCCTCTGACCCTTTGCTCTGGCTGTGTCCTCAGGTGCTGCATGGCCAGCCAGCAGAGGGACAGGAACCACGCGGCCACTGGTCAGACAGGAGCCGCGCCCTTCTCCGCCCCCGGCCTGGCCGCAGAAGAGTGAGTGTCGGTGCCGAGACCACCCTGTGGTTTACACTTCAGGGGTGTTCACAGTCGGCAGTTGGCTATTTTCGAAAACCTTTTTTAATATGTAACCACCCCGATTTTAACGTGTTAGTGACAAGGAACACTAAACACAGCTGTTGCCATAAATTAGGATCCTGAAAAGCCTGCCTGGACCGAGCCACGCACTGTGACCTGCTCACAAGTGCTCCTCTCCGGAGCGCCGATGGCTCAGGGTCCCGGCACACACTGATCAGAGGCTGAGGCCTGAAGCCTCGAGCGGGATGGATCAGAGGGCCCCAAATCCGGACGCGAACGTCGCCCCCTGTAGCTCGCCAGTTAGCACGTGGGAAGCCTCTCCGTGCCACACGGAGCAGGAAGGCGGCTCGCCACCGTGGCAGAGATGGAGGGAGGGCGGCCTTCGTTGTTTGGCTTGGGGAAAACAGCAGCTCCCCTCACGGCACTGTGGTTCCTTTTGTAAATGCGCACGCTCACCACATGGACGGAGAGGCCTGGCTTCGTGCGATGACAGGATGGTGCGTGCAAAAGGAAATCTGCTGGAGAGAGCTGACCTGGGTCTGAATAATTAAAGTGTTTTTTTCTTAGCAGCTTTATCACGAGCAGTGAGCAGTGTTTGAAGTCCTGAGCAAGCCTCCACCCTGGGCCCTTCTGTGTTAATTGGTTGACCTTAAGTCTACCAGCTGTTCTGGCCGCAGCTTGTTTTTGTTTGTTTTTAAGCCACTCTGCAAAAACTCCACATAAGTGGAGGGGGGTCGAAATGACGGTGGGCTCACCCCCCACACACTGGGGGCTCTAGCCAGGCCATCCCAGGAGGTGCACTGAGTTTGTCTCCAGTGTACCCTGAGCTCGAGTATCCTTGTGGCTCTGTGATAGGAGGCTCCCCATTTGTGCTGACCCGAAAGAGACTGCTCTGTCCCCCTGTTTGGTGGTAGGAAGAAAAACGAGCAATTTGTGCAACTGAGGGACTTGCCCCTGCCTGTGCCCCACACGGTGACCTGGGTGGACTGCTCACCAGAGGTTGCCTCTGATATGAGGACCCCTGCAGCCTCACTTTACCTCTGGAGACAGTGTTTGGAGAGCGTGTGCGTGTGTGTGTGTGTGTGTGTGTGTGTGTGTGTGTGTATGTGTTTGCTCGCCGTCTTCAGATGCTGAGCTTGCTGTGTTGCATCTTATTTTCAGTCACAAAGAGCCAAAGAAGCCAGCGGGGGTCCACGCGCTCCAGGCCAGCGAGCTGGTCGTCACGTACTTCTTCTGTGGAGAAGAGATTCCATACAGGAGGATGCTGAAGGCTCAGAGCTTGACCCTGGGCCACTTTAAAGAGCAGCTCAGCAAAAAGGGAAATTATAGGTAAGAGTCCCCTGGCTTCTTTCTGCTCCTGAGTTTGTTTGCTCAGAACCGAGAGCCAGAGCAACTTCCCTGGCCTGGCCAGACCTGGGAGGGGCCACGAGGGCCGAGGAAGTGGGAGGTGGGGAGGCCGTGGGCGTGGGCTGCTGCCTGCTGCTCCGTCCCTTCTCGTTTCCTCGCTCCCCTCACCACTCTGAGAAATAACACAGCAGCGGCGGCAGCGGGGAGGGCCTTTCTACCAGGTGAGCAGGATGCTGAGGAGAAAGGTGGCAGGAGGAGAGCTGGGCTTGGACCACCTTATAGGACTCTGCCTGAAAGGGAGAGAGGTGGGGGTGGGGGGGATAGAAAGAGACGGACACACAGACCGATCAGGAAAGACTGCTGTCCTGGCTTGGGTGTCGGAGAGACGTCCACACCCTGAGGGCCTGGGGAAGGGCTGAGGCCATCGCCCGGAAATGCAGGCCGTGTTCCTCTTACTCAGCTGTCCTGCCTGAAGAGCTGCCTTAATCTGTCTTAAGAGTCACGTGAAGCAGGGCGCTCTTCTGTCCGTAACAAAGAGGGGGCAGGCCCGGCCTGTGTGGCTCAGTGGTTGAGCATCCACCCATGAACCAGGAAGTCACGGTTTATTCCCAGTCAGGACACATGCTCAATCCCCAATGTGGGGCGTGCAGGAGGCAGCCAATCAGTGATTCTTTCTCATCACTGATGTTTCTCTCTCTTCCTCTCCCTTCTTCTCTAAAATCAATAAAAATATTTTTTTAAAAACAGAGGGGGCAGGACCTGTGGGTGGGCACTGGGTGGACAGGGTCCTCGGAAGGGAACTTGCCGACCCTCTCAGCTTCCTTTCTTGCTCTGCACAGTGGAGATGCCCACCCAGGCCTTCCAGGGACCCAGACCGGACTAGAGCTGAGGGCCGCATTTCTTGTTCCTTTTCCGCTTACCTGGCCCAGGTGGTGACTCCACCTCAGCTCATCGAGTCCCACCTGCCCCTCCTCCGTGGCCTTCCTCCCAGCGGACTATGTGTAGGCCTGGGACGAGGGGCAGGCAAGTACCTACCACCTGCCAGGTGGGCACGGGCTCCTGGACCCAGGCGATTCCACCTCCAGGGCCCCAGCACCCGTGCCTTCCTGAGCAGCCACCTCCACCAGCCGCGGATTGGGGCAGGGGCCCGAGGGATTGCTGTTTCAGAGGAAGGGGTGGGGTTCGGGCCGGGACCCTGTCGGTGGCTGGGAGCAGGGTGTGGAGCTGGCCTCGTCCTTCCCATTGACACCTGGGCTGAGACAGTTCTGAGCCTGTTGGAGGCTTGGGGAGGGGGCCTGGCCGCCGCCGCCTTTATCTGGACCGACACCAGGTGAAACTCATTCCACAAGGGCGCCTCCAGGGATCCGTTTTGATCTCGGCTTTGACTCGGCCGGACTTGGGGGAACTGCAGGTGACCTTCAGGGACAGGGGCCACGGAGCGCTGAGCGGAGCGGCTGCAGGGGAGGCTGGGCGCCCAGCCACTCCGGCCACATCTGGCTCTGATTTCTTTTTCTGAGGCGCACTTAATAAGCCTGGCTTTGAAGCCGGGCCGGCCTCCCCTTTAATGCACAAAGACTTGCACAAACGGTCCGCGCTCACATTCTTTACTGATTGGATCAGCCTGTGGCCAGGCCCCTCCCAGCTCCTTATCGCTCTGCCTGCTCTCCTGGCCAGAGCGGGCTCCCCTCCTCCTGGGTCGGGGGGGCCCAGGGTTCCATGCCTCCCCCCCCCCCCCCCCCCCCAGCAGGGTGATGCTCCAGCATTCAGTTCCCACCCCCACACCCCCCACAGGAAAAAAGCCCGGGCAGCGGGGGACCTGGGCTGCGTTGAGTAATCTCACTGTGGCAGAGGTTCAAAAAGAGAACAGCCCCTCTCGACGTGCCAGACGCTATTGGTGCCAGATGTCAGAAAAAAGCAGCGTTTGCCACATAGAGCGTGTTGCCCTGGAAAAGCCCGCTGCTTGGGGGAGAGGAGGGCAGCGAGCACGTTTGAAGTCCTGGGGGTGGGGCCGAGGGAACAGCGCCTCTCTCCTTTCTGGAAGAGGGTGCAATTATGTGAAAGGTCGTGGCGTGTTTGCCATGAAAGCCGGCCTGGTGAACCCGCGGGGGTGGTGCTGGGGCTGAGGGTGGCATCGGAGTTGGAGCCTCTCATTTGGAAAAGTAGCTCTTCCCACCATCCTGCCAGAGTCTCCTGGGCCCCCTCCCCTCCCACTTGCTCGCCATTCCTCCCAGCCCCGCAGACACCCCGACCCCTCCACAGGCAGCGTTTCCACCACTGGCCCCCAAGCGCCGCGCGGTCAGTTGGCCCGGGAACACTGAAAACAAAGGCCTTGACTAAACCCAGCTGTCTGACTGGACTTAGTCTTATCTCCCAGGAAAGTATTTGGCTTGCCTTCATTAAAGACGAAAAAAAAACGCAGCACAAAGCAAGGGGATTGATTTAAGAGAAAGACAAGAACAAAATACAGCCATAACCCTGAGACGCAGTGGGATTTTTTAGAGAGCCCCCCCCCCCCCCGGGAACTGGGCGTGCTTAATCCAATCGAGGGCCCTCGCTGGGACGGGAAGGAAGGGGCCTGGGAGGACGCTGCTGTTTCCGCGGGGGACTCCGAGAGGCCGCCCGGAGAGACTGCTCATTTGAGTCCATACAATTAAACAGCCTTAGAAGAAAAAGGCCGGGGCGGGATGAAAGAAACCTTTAATCAATGGGCATAATAGAAGGGCCCTTCGTGTTTGACCCTGGAGGGCGGGGGAGGGGAGAGGGGTGGCTGTCCCATGGCTGCACCAGAGACCAGCCGGTGGGGTTGGCACCTGGGTGCTGGAGGGGGAAAGATCAAGAGGAAGTCGGCCAGGTCTGGGTGGCTGGTCTGGGGTCCCTAAGAGACCCCTTTCTTGGCTGCAGTGGCAAATGAACTCTAGGCCTGCTTTGCCCTTCCTGTCCCCCCCATACCACCCCCCCCCCCAATAAAAAAGAGGATAAAGAAACAGCTGTATTCAGCAAGGTGCACTTTCCATAGCCTGAGTGGTGGTGACAGCAGCAGTCCTGGGTTGAGGGCCGCAGCCTCGGAGCTGCTCGCAGGGCAGTCCTGCCCAGGCTGCTGTCACGCGGTGCCCAGCTTTGCTCCCGAGTGACATGGCCTGCCTGGGAGCCACGGGTCCTCTCGGTCAGATAAGGGCCAAGGTTGACCTTCACCCGGCTGCAGCCGCATCCTCGCCTTCCCTTAGTGTTGCCCTGCGTTTCTTTCAGAGCAGAAAATGCAGTTTTACCAAGATGCTTTTTGGGGTCTTTCTTTTAAGGTATTACTTCAAAAAAGCCAGCGACGAGTTTGCCTGTGGCGCGGTGTTTGAGGAGGTCTGGGACGACGAGACGGTACTCCCCATGTACGAAGGCCGGATCCTGGGCAAAGTGGAGCGGATTGACTGAGTCTGCGGGTCTGGCCGTGGCCGGCCGCGGGAGCCCCGCAAGCGGTCCGGGACGTGAGCCACCGCCATGCGACACAAAGAAGGAATTTTAAAAAAATAAAAATGAAGACAAAGTCTAGGGAAGAGCTGGCCACTGGGCCTTCGGAGGGTGGGGGGAGGGTGGTTTTTCATTATTCATGGGCTGGGTACTGAGATAAGAAGAGCCTGAACTATTTATTAAAACCATGACCACTCCTGGCTATTGAAGATGCTGACTGTATCTGAGAGACGGCCATCCGTAATATATGACTTCCTAGGGACCTGAACCCATAAACTAAGAGAAACTGTGTATAGCTTCCCTGAACAGGAGCCCTTACTGATATTTATTGAACAAGTGATTACCCCTGCCCCCAGTT